GTTGACTACACCTTCCTTTTCAAAATACGAGTTCTAGCGCCTTTCGCTATGAATGTGTATTAGTGTTGCCAGGTCAAGTAGGTTAAATATCGGGACGAAAGGTAAAAATAATAGAGAATTTAGGTTACAAATCTAATAAAAAAAAAATAAACATGCGTGAATGTCGTGGTACATTGGGTTGGAACGAAATTCCTTTCGTGGTATATTATTTTTGATAAACGTATTGTTGCGCCCCACAATTAATACATGGAATATGGGGACACTAGTTACCACTAGCGCCCTCGATACTTCGAGTAGCAGAACTAGGAGAGTCAAGAGCATTCTAGAAATTTCCATGGAAGAACTTTTTATAACTATCAACACCTAGTCAATCGGGACTGATATGTAGTCGAACGTTCTAGAAGTTTCTACAGTAGAAGGTTCTGGAAACAAACTGAACCCTATATAAGGCTAGTATAGACCGCGACCGAGTCAGTATTGAATTGGCGATACAAGCGAATACTTTGAAGCGATACAACTGCGAACTAAAGTGATCAGTAGTAACGGTAGTAATTGTGTTTTTTGTTAGTGAAGTTTTGAGTTGTAATTCTTTAACTAAATTGTCAATTTTGGTAATTTACTCGGCAGTTTTTAATTGTCTCGAACCCCAAGCTCGTAACAATTGGTGTCAGAAGTGGGATCAAATCATATATAATATAAGCCTCTTAGCACGCCTTTCCATTGAGTCCAAAGCTACTAGGTGGCATTTTGCAGCACCAGCCCATATATGGCAGCAATACTCCATGCACGACCGGACTTGCGCTTTATATAAAGACGCTGTTTGACTTTAAACCCCATGAAGGCTAAGCTGGACTGCCTCTTTTCCAGTAAAAAGGGTCTCCGGTTCTCTACACTCACCATACGAAACACACCAGTGTGAAGCTGCTATTTTACGCTGGTATTCTGTGAGAGCGTGGTCCTTCCCCGGTCGAGCCGACCCATTCGTGCTACAGCTATACTACTAATATAGTCCTTATTTATTATTTATGCGTTCCACATAATACTTAGTAGTAAGTAGCTTTGCTTTACTATGCCCTGCAGTGGGCGATAAGGTGCTGATGATGCAGTAGTTATGCACCTTTAAAGTATTTACTTTAGTTTATATATGTATAGAGCCCCTATTTCGTTTTGCCCCGGGACTCTTGGTTACATATCTACGCCACTGACGATATTGTTAAATAAAATACAGTTAGTTCTATCCTTGTCGTCTGCTGCGGTGAGTCACCCAGCAGGTTCCGAGTCTCGGGGCATCTCCCCCATTACCCGGGTGATCCCCACAACCCATATATGGGCCGGTCTTTGTAGCCATTTTTTCGGCATTGTAGGTTTTCTCAAACATTTTTTGCGTCCAATTTGGCCTATAGGCGTCTAATAAGGCCCGTCCGGCGTCTAAGTTGGCCTATCTGTGGCATTGAGGGTTTTACTCGACTCTCTAATCTCTATAGAGAGGAGTTCTCTTGGCAGAGGTCGCCCGTCCGGGTGGCGGGTGTGTAGCGGCGCAAAGTTGTTCAGGTGTGGGTGTGGCCCGTTGTCAGCGTGGTCGAACATACCTCGCGACAAACGGACCACAAACTCTTCAATAGTCTCCATTTTAAGGTTGGCCGCTATGACGTCGTTCCGGACTTAACGACCTGCACCGACAATGGTCCATAGGGTTAGGTTCTGCTGGGCCTGCAGCCGCTGCCTTTGTCTGCTGCTCAAGAGCGCGTACCAGGCAGGAGCGGCGTATGTCAGTTTCGCTCTTATCTACAGCTTATAAATTTTGATCTTGGTTTTCCTCGGTAGTTTGGATGCCAGGACTGGACGAAGCATCGCCCGTACACATCTAGCGTTACGTACTACGATGTCGACGTGCGCGGTCATGCGCAACCCAAGGTAGGCCTTCTGATACGCGATCTCTTGGCCACTTAGCTTCAATGGTGGTCGTAGTTTCCTAAATCGGCGGATGAGTAGAGCGGCCGTTTTTCCCACGTTCACGGCGATCCTCCACTCATCCAACCACGGTGGCAGCTGGTCCAGCAGGCACTGCATCTTTGCGACAGCAAGATGGTGTTTTCTGGATGAAATAAAGTAGGTACTATCGTCCGCGTATAGCGCCAACTCTACGTCGTCCTCCCATTCCTGCAGATGTCCAGCGAGCGTTGGTATGTCATTCGTGTATGCCGCGTACATGATCGGCGAGAGACAGCTGCCCTGTGGTACGCCGGCTCTTATAGGCTTGACTGCGGACTCGGCATCCTCGACACAGACGTAGAAGCTCCGGTCAGCTAGAAACAACGCCACTAGCCACAGCATAGCAGGAGGGACATTCGTTTGTTGTATCATCTTGAAGAGTAGTCCAGAGTGCCACACCCTGTTGAACGCCTTCTCGATATCCATGAAGACGCCAACTGACGTTCTCTCAAAATTGTGCTAGGCCGTAAGCAGGTGCAGCACTCTGGTCAGCTGTGTAGCTGTAGAGTGTCCGCTCCGAAATCCGTGTGGTTCCGCCCGAAGTTGTATGCACGGGCGGACTCTTCTTAGTATTATGCATTCAAATAATTTGGCTATATGCGGTAGCAGCGTTATCGGCCTGTAACTAGCTGCTCTACGCCTGTCCTTCCCGGGTTTAGGCAAGACCATAATTTTGCCGATTTTCCAGCACTCCGGGAAGTGAAAGTCCGCAGAATGCCATTGTAGAGTTTCCCTCTCTACAATCGTTCTGTTGGGCAGATGTCGGAGTGCTGCATTCGTGATCCGGTCGTGCCCCGGCGCCTTCCTCGGTTACAGGCGGGCTATTGTCCTCCGCAGCTCTGCGGGGGAAATAAACCACTCTCATACAAGCGGTGGCGCGGGCGACGACAGGAACTCCCGTACGCGGCTCTCCTTTTGGGCATGAAGCTCCATGAACTCCGCACTTGCTGGGTTCAGCATAAACTGCTCCTCGAAGTGCTCAGCTAGGATATCCGCTCTTCCTTTGGCCTCATAACATCGCTCTCCAGTACTATTAATTAGTGCGCAGACGGGTGATCTTGTTTTTGTTAGCTGCCGGTTTAATTTGTAGAGCGACGCATCTTCCTCCTCCGGTTTCCATATGCGCCGCTCCCAGGCCTCTCCTCTGTGGGCCTGGATTGCAACCGACAGATCTTCCGTTATGATGTTAAGTTGCGTATTGATCCTGGGGCAGCGCGTTCGCGCCCAGAGCTTTCTTAATGCTCTCTTTCTTCTTAATTGCAGTATAATATTTGGCGGTAGCTCTTCTCGCTTTTTAGTGAGTGGGACGATCGTAGAGGCCGCGTTGAGGGCTTCTGTAATCGTTTTTGTTATTCTGGTTGCAGCGGTCTCTACGTCGTCCGCTGTGTTAATTAATGCAGTTACTGGAGGTCTCTCCAGTAGATGTTTTTGATAGAGCCTCCAGTTCATCTTGTTTTTGAAAGCTCTGGGAGGCGACGTCACTGCCCTGAGGCCTAAAGTAATTAATAGTGGGAGGTGCTGTATGTTCACGTCGTACAGCACCTCTACCACTATCGGGAAGTTGATGTTTCTAGTGAGCACGATGTCCAGCACATCCGGACTCCTCCGGTGATCGGCTGGAATGTGCGTCGGTTCTTCGGGACCGAATACGTCATAGTTGTTAGTTTCTGCATCGTCGTAGAGTGCACGCAGGTAGTTCATGGTTCACGTGCAGGTAGTTCATGGTTCTTTTACGATGAATAGAAACCATCCACCATCTTCTTCTTCGCCATGGCTTATTCATTTTCTTTTTATGGTAAATGTGTAAAAAATTATAATAATAATAGCACAAAGGCAAAACGCAGCAACAGTTTCTTCTAGGTCCATCGCAGCGGGCATACGGAGTTCAAGTGATACAACGAGTGTGTACATGGTGTGCTCTCCTGTTGAGCCTCTTCGCGAAGAGCGGCACGCTAGGCGAAGAGACGAGCGTGTACAGCCATCATAAGATTATTATTTTATGGCGCGCGCATTTGAACACGCGAGCACACACACGCAAATCCAATTATGAATTATTTCAGTTGACACTGCGAGTAGTAACGGCCTTATGGTCAATAATTAACAAATATGATCGAACAATCATCAATAGCGATCGAACAAACGATATTTACTAAAAATTTATTCATTTAAGGGATAAAAGTTAAAATTAACAATAAGGTGGGCCAATCTAAGGATGAATTTTTTTTAATTAATTATAAATAATTAAAAGACGACGAAACAACTTTTGTGTTTGAGCAAAAACGAAGAAATGACGTACATTTAATTAAAATAAAATAAACTCAAAAAATAATAAATCCAAGTGGGGCTTGGTTCAGGTCTAGCACTTCTTACTAGTTTGTGGTTCAGGTACCTGTTTAACTTTTTTTTATAATTGCCTTTACGGCTCTGGGTTCTAACCATTCAGAGCCTGAAGTTACAAGGTATAATTATCCTTCATAGTACACTGCTTCCCAATATGTGGATGCGTTGTGCAGCCTATGGGAGATCTTGACGGCAACTTGAGCCAGCAGACAGCTGACAGTTGATGATGGTATCTTAAGGCGCCTAAGCAGACCGACATCTTATTTTGAGAATCACATCACCATCAGAGCACATGCTTCACTGTTTCCACTAATAGTTCACATGCACAGACAATACACAAAGTCGTCAAAATCAAAATCCACTTCAAACCATTATTTAAATAATAATACAAGAGCAGCAATCCTCCACTGTTCAAGTTCCAGCCAAAACTAGACCAAACAGGTCTAGTTTGATTTTGATTGAAACTCTGTGATTTTGATCAAAGAGTATCGAAGAGTATGGATCATATATAGATTATAGATTTTGATTGACAGTTGGACATTTTGACATTTTAGCACCTGTTGAACAGGTCCTGTTCCTCTTGTTTATTATTCGGTAAAATAAAAAAAAATCACTTAAAATTTAATGTTTTAAGAATTAACGAAGTGATATTTAAAAGGAAAAGTAAAATGTCAAACTGTGAACTTTTATACGTAAAAGGAATGAATCTTGTAAGTAATTATATAATTATATATCCTTTTTATTCGTGTTGTTGTATATACCCACAATCGCACTTTACAACTAGTAGTGAAATCATTTTAGATGTTATAGGTATTATTTGAAATTTTTATACCATTGACTATGCAGATGCACATGGAGGCTGTGACAGATGTTTTAATTAAAATCTCAATAAATCACTATTTATTTTTACAGTACAGCACATCCAAGTCACATCAATTACTATTCAATACAGGAGCAATAAATAGAATTAATAATCTGTTCACTCTAGTTTAATCATTACCAGTTATGGAAATTGAATTGAAACTAGAATTGAAAATATGTTTACAAGAGCTTAAGACTTATTGCTACAAAAAGTAGAGAGTTACAAAAGTTTTTTGTTATCCTACTATCCTACTAATATTATAAATGTGAAAGTTTGTGAGGATGTATGGATGTTTGTTACTTTTTCACGCAAAAACTACTGAACGGATTTTAATGAAACTACAATAATATAGCTTATACATCAGAATAATACAAGTTATAATTCATAAAAATTTTGTTTAAATTGGCCAGAATATAATGATAAATGTTATGTAAGTCTGAAAAAAAATCTACCATCTGCGGGCTATTTTGGCGATAACATACGTTGCACAAAAACCTGTGAACCGATTTGAATGAGACTTTCACTGGCAGATAGCTGTTGTTATCAGAAGTAACAGGCTACTTTTAAATTTTAGAGTTCCGCGCAAAAAAAATCCACGCAGGTGAAGTTGCAGGGAACAGCTAGTTAATCAATAAGACTATTGCAACAGGTAAACCAACGCATTGGCCAATAGATCTTATAAAAAATGTCTGATACTATTTGGACTTTTTCTATTCTACAAAGCCAGATTATACTTTGTGAGATAGAACTGGGTCCAATAATAAACTAATATTTAAATAAGATAGTAAAAATATTTCAGATTAACAACAAATGTTGAAATTTTAGGTGTTGCTATTTTCCTACATTAGTTGTTATGTTTGTCACATCCCTTAACATGTTTTCTCTTTCTTGAAACTCTGGCAATGGGATTGATAATTTGCCTGCTAAGTATTGCAATTAGGAAAAATCCTCATTTTTTGGCAGTACAGTAACTATTTGCAGTTAGTAGAGTGGCTAAGCATATAGTTGCAACACTGCGAACCACAGGTCCGAATCCCACATGGAACAAGTGTTTGTATGGCTTACAAATAATTGTCCCAGATCTGTAAGTAATGTATCCATGTGCAATTTATGTGTGCAACCCACCTCCATAATACAGGAGAAAATCCTAGTGTGACAATTAAATCTGTTTCAGTCAGAAACAGAAGATGATGCCGCAGAAGAAGATATCTGGGATGACAGAAAGCTAAATGATGCATATGACAAGGCTTTAAAAATTGCCAATACAGATGTTGCAAAGCGTCTGGCAATGTCCACAAATACACAGCACTTGTCTAAAACTAACTCAGAAAAAGGTAACAAAATCCATCCATCAAAATCTACTTATGGACTGAACACATTATTTTACATAGGATGTATTAACATTTTAATGGACTGCAACGTCATATGTCAATTTTTCTTTCAAATACCAACCTCTAATGCATATCATCTTGGTAATAATTGGACAAGACTGCTAACCAACAAAGCGACTTGTGTAATCAAATATTTTAATCATGTTGATTTAAAAATATTTTAATGTAACGCAGTAAGAGAGAGTGAAACAGGCAGCGGCTCAAAATTGTTAAGTGTTTTATGACAATGTCAATTAAATATATTACAATTGCTAAGTAACTTTTGACTCAGCTCTCTGGCAGACAGACAGACAGACAGATGGATAGTGGAGGCTTAGTAATAGGGTCCCGTTGGATACCCTCTGGGTAGGGAACCCTAAAAATTATGATGTATTTAGTATTGATCACTTTGTTCCTCAGTCTGAGATACATAAAAAAGTGCTTCGAATAATCATAATATAATCAATAAATAGACGGGCAGAGCTGCTCACTGTCATCAGCTGTTCGCTTGTTTCGCCATTAAATAATTTTTTCTTTTTTTAATAGAAAAAGTAGTAATGCACAGCTCACAATGTACAAGGAAGTGCACTACTCTCGATATGTGGCCTTACCTCAATTTCGCTACATAAAATTGTTCTTATACTTTTAGCTAGATATCAAATCCATATTATTATTAACGTTACAATAACTACAGACATTAAATTATAAGATTAGTTTATTTTGTAATTGATTCACTTTCGATTACATTAAAAAAATGTAATTGAAAAAATATATGGACTGCCGTCCGTTGGTCTGTGCGTAGGTGAGTCTTCTTGCTTAATAGAAATGTAAGCAATACATTGAAATATGCTAAGGAGGATCCCTATTGATTTTTGTTATTGAACTCACCATCATTTAAAAGTTGTTAATGAAAGTCAAACAGACTCTGTTTTTTTTTTGTAAAAATTATCACTATTTTTATTTTTTTCATCAAAATTAAATGAGACGCTCATAAGGCATGCACTTTTGGGTTTTCCAAATATTATTTAATATTTTATAGAATTAATTAGCAATTATTTTAGCAATAATTTTACTAATGTGGTAGAGCCACATTACAGCTATATTACTGGTATAGTTGTACCACGAATGGGTCGACTCGACAGGGGTAGGACCACACTCTCACAGGATACCAGCTTAAAATAGCAGCTTAATGCTGCTGCGTTTCATATGGTGAGTGTAGAGAACCGGAGACCCTTTTTACTGGAAACGAGGCGTTCCATTTTAGTGCTCAGGGGTGACAACTCATCTGCATTTTGATACTTAATCGAGGATAAATGTAGATGTCTATGGGCCACAACATCCACTTACCATCAGTTGGACTGTGTGTTCGTTTATCACTCTTATTTTATAAAAAAGGCAAAAGAATAAAACCCTATTGAATAGAACATGAGTTTTCTTTAACATTCAAAATTTTTTCTTTAAAAAAAAAGAATACTTGTAATGCTAATTACATCACTAGAAGTCTCATTAACCTCTCCTAGTAAGCTTAAAATGTTTGTATTGGGAGTATTTCGCGACAGCAGTCAAAGGTGGATTTCACCATTAGGTTATTGTCGCTTAAGTAAAGTATTACAATATTATTTCAATGCACTTATTGCTAAAGTAGATTTAGTATATAGTATTGCATTACATAGGTGAGAATGTATAATACAACTAATTTATTATTGTCTTACAGGTCATCCGAAAATCAAGAAAGAGACTGCATCTCAATCTGCAAGCACAAAAAATGCACAGAAGAAAACTATACAGTGGAAAGCTGGTATGCCATGCCGGGCTATATATGAGGGAGACGGCCAGGAGTATGAAGCTTTTGTATTAAGGCTTATAAGTGACCAGGAATGTATTGTCAGATTTCTAGGTTAGTACTGTTGACTTATGAAATAAAGTCTATTCTTGTCAATATATTCAATATTGACTCTATATCTTTCCAGAAGGGTCTCCAATATCTCCGGCTCAACCGGGGAAGGACCACCACCTCACAGAATACCAGCGTAAAATAGCAGCTTAATGCTGCTGTGTTTTCTATGGTGAGTGTAGAGAACTGGAGACCCTTTTTACTGGAAACGAAGCATTCCATCTTAATCCTCATGGGTGACAACGCATCTGTATTTTGATTCGTAATCGAGGATAGATGTAGATAGATGTCTATAGGCCACAGCAGTCGCTTACCATCAGGTGGACTGTGTGCTCGTTTGTTACCCTTATCCTATAAAAAAAAAAACTCTTGCCTCGAAAAACTCACATTATAATCGGATGGCAAGACAACACTAGCAAATTATTCCTCTCTTTTGCAGTATGATGTATATTTGATATAAAATATAGTTTCATTATAATTTTTTTTAGGATATGAAAACTCAGAGATAGTTTCTATAAGCACGTTAAAGCCAACACTGGGCAAACACGAGCGCACGCGTCAAATACAGCAAGCATTCTGTGACAAGGCAGACGATGGGTTTGCGAGCCAGTCGCCTATAGACAATATGGAATGTAGTGACGTAGGAACCAGCCCTAGGAGCGCGGGTATGTTCTGATAGATATATCTATTTTAACAATTACTTTTTTCTGCCACCAAATAGCAGTTAATTACAGTCTGTGAGGCTGAGATCTATAGACCGTACTTTGACTTTGCTCAGACTATACATTCGAGCTAAGACAATGTTGGTTCTTAGGGGTGACGACGCATTTCTATAACGTTTTCTGTGCAGGTGTACATGGACTACAGTAGCCACTTACTATCAGGTAGACTGTAAGTTAATTTGTCACTTCAGTGTTATTACAAAAAAACCAAGCAAATTAGAGTTAATAAAAACAAAGACCATCAGGTAGACTGTAAGTTAATTTGTCACTTCAGTTTTATTAAAAAAAAAACCAAGCAAATTAGAGTTAATAAAAAACAAAGACTATCAGGTAGACTGCAAGTTAATTTGTCACTTCAGTTTTATTAAAAAAAAACCAAGCAAATTAGAGTTAATAAAAAACAAAGACTATCAGGTAGACTGTAAGTTAATTTGTCACTTCAGTTTTATTAATAAAAAAAAACCAAGCAAATTAGAGTTAATAAAAACAAAGACTATCAGGTAGACTGCAAGTTAATTTGTCACTTCAGTTTTATTAATAAAAAAAAACCAAGCAAATTAGAGTTAATAAAAACAAAGACTATCAGGTAGACTGCAAGTTAATTTGTCACTTCAGTTTTATTAAAAAAAAAACCAAGCAAATTAGAGTTAATAAAAAACAAAGACTATCAGGTAGACTGTAAGTTAATTTGTCACTTCGGTTTTATTAAAAAAAAACCAAGCAAATTAGAGTTAATAAAAAACAAAGACTATCAGGTAGGCTGTAGGTTCATTTCTCACTTCAGTTTTATTTAAAAAAAAAAACAAGCCAATTAGGAGTTAATAAAAAACAAAGAAGCTGAGTTCACTTTTTAGTAATTGATAATGACGCGTTTTTAACCAGTAAAAATTAACATAATGTTTACTTATTGGTATTATCTCACTACAATTCACGGTGGTTTTATTTATTGACAGCAACGGTCGGGATGTTTTCCCAAGTGCAATTTAGGTGTGTAAAACATCTCCACAATATAAAATATGAAGATAAAAAAAGCTTAAGATATTGCCTATAAAAGTCCAGAGATGATGACAAATCAAAGATATCTTGCACACATCCTTTAAATCGTTTTGGCTGCAAGAGGTCACACAGGAACAGTTACTCAAATATTAATACATAAGGTGTGATGGGGTAATACCGTACGAATTTTCGACTAGTTGAAAGAGTCTGGCTAAATCTTTATTTTCACGACATCCGTATATGTTAGATTTCTGGAACATGGCGCAAATCGATAATGGTTAAATGTAGTTTAACTATGAGAATTTTTTGCTTTTGTGTAAACTAAGCGGTTTCTGCTTTAAACAAGTGCGAAGACAAGACATACATTTTATATGCATGATGAAGAATTTATAGGGGTAAGCCCCTTGATGGCAAATTTAAAGCCACTTCTACTGCTTGGAAAACAAAGTTAATAAAAGTGATTTGTCCTATCTTTAATGCTCAAAAACATATTACAATATACATAATACATAATACATAAACACTCACGCCTGTCACCCAGAGGGGTAGGCAGAGACTACGGACTTCCATTTGGCGCGATCCTGACACACCTCTCTCGCCTCTTTTACATCCATATATCTACGCATACACGCTCGTCGGTTAAGAGTACTCCTAATCTGGCCCATTTTTAATGTATCACCGATTTGGTCGATAAACCTTCGTCTAGGGTGTCCCTTCCCGACCCTGCCGTTCACTTCTGCAACATAAATTTGCTTTGTCACTCTTTCCTCGTTCATTCTTTCTACATGACCAAACCACCGAAGCATTCCTTTCTTAATCCTTGTCACAACGTCACCTTGCAAACCACACTTTTCTCTTATCACACTATTTCTCACCCTGTCATTCAGATTCAGCCCTAGCATACTCCTTAAGGAACGCATTTCTACAGCATTTATTCTACTCTCATGCTTCTTCTGCCAGACCCAACTTGATCCTGACACAAGCACTAGAGTGCCTATAAAGATATCTTAATGCCTGTATCAAGCCAGCACTCAACCCAAATGAGTTCAGTGTTTGCAATAACACATTCCTGTCCACTCTGTCATAAGCCTTTTCCAAGTCCATGAACGCACAAAAAACTTTCTGGTTTTTGGCCAAAAACTTCTCCGCTATCATGCGCATGGAAAAGACTTGACCCGTACACCCCATCCCCTTTCTAAATCCAGCTTGCACATCCCAAATTTTTCCATCAGTTTCTTCCATAACTCTTTCAATTAACACCTTAGCATACAGTTTACCCACAATGCTAAGCTGATACCACGGTAGTTTTTACAGTCCTGCTGCGACCCCTTTCCCTTATATATTGGGACTATAACGGCTTTGCACCAGTCTTCCGGTACCCGCTTCAGTTCCCAACATAAATTAAACAAGGTGTACAGCAGGCCTGCTACCACACCCTCACTAGCCCTTAGCATTTCGAGTGATACTCTAACATATCCGGCTGCCTTTCATGCTTTTTATTGCTTTCATTATTTCATCTACACTTATCTCCCTACCTCTCTCCACTTCTTCCGGAATTTCACTTATTTCAGACGACGCTTCACTCTTAAACACGCTTTCAAAGTATTCCTTCCATCTCTTTAAATTAGAAACTTCATCATTCAATACGCAGCCATTCTCGTCTCGTATAGCATTCATTCTAGGCTGTTTTGAATTTTCCCTGGCAGTTCTTACGAGCTTCCAGAACATTTTAATATTTTCCTGGAAGTTATCAGATATCCTTCTATCATTTTTATCTATCCTTTCTTGCTTTCAACAACTTCTTTTACTCTCTTATTTATACGTCTAAAGTCTGCCTTTTTTCTTTCAATCTCATCATTCATACCGCCAGAATTACCAGCTTTTTTATTAGTATTAGTAGCCTTTATTTACACATAAATATTTTTTTTTTCTTTAAATTTTTAAGTTGTTTCATTATATTTTATTATTTATATGTTGCTATTAGCGCAAAAGGCCTCCCCCAACTTATCCCAATCTTTTCTACTCTGGGCTGTCCTGTGCCAGTATTTGTCAAAATTCGAGAGTTCGTCCCGCCATCTCCTTTTTGGTCTCCCCTTTTTCCTTCTTTTGTCCATCGGAATCCACTCTGTAATTGTTTTAGTCCATCTATCATTTGGTAGTCTGCAGAGATGTCCAGCCCATGCCCATTTGCTTTTCCTAATCTTTTTTACGACATCTTCCACCTCCGTCCTGTCCCGGATCTCTGTAATCCTGATTCTGTCTTTTTTAGAAATCTTAAGCATTGATCTTTCCATTGCTCTTTGAGTTACTTTTAGTTTATTTAATTGAGCTTTAGTAAGACTCCATGTTTGTGATCCATAGGTTAAGGTAGGTAGGATGGCGGTGTTAAATGTCTTACTTTTAAGTTTTATGCATAAGTCACTCTTCATAATAAATTTTAGGCTCCAAAATTTTTTCCATGACTTGTTTATTCTTTGTTCTATCACCCTATCTTGGTTGTTTTTAAATGACATGACTTGTCCTAGATATGTAAAGTCTTCTACATAATCCAGTAGGGCTCCTCCAAGTCTAACAGGTTTGTGCTCCCCATTAGTCATGATCTTGCATTTTTGCCTATTCATTTCCAAGCCTGTTTCTCTACACTTACTTTCAAATTCCCTGAGCATATCTTCTAAGACCTCTGTGGTCTCAGCAAAGATAATGACATCATCTGCAAACCTCAGATTGTTTAGGTATCTTCCATTTATTCTTAATCCTTTATTTGACCAAGACATATTTCTGAAAACTTTCTCCAGAACTGCATTGAAGAGTATTGGTGAAATCGGGTCACCCTGTTTGACACCCTTTTGCAATGGAAATGGTTCCCCCATTTTGTCTGTTTTTATTCTTGCCTTGCTGTTTCTATAAATATATTTTAGGATATTTAAATATTTTTGGTCAACACCTTGTTCTTCAAGAGTTTCGAATAAAAAATCATGGTAAATTGAGTCAAAGGCTTTGGTAAAGTCAATGAAAGTCAGATATACTGTGTAGCCATATTCCATACATTTCTCTATAATTTGGGTGACTGAGTGTATGTGATCATTTGTGCTGAATGTTGGTCTGAATCCTGCTTGTTCCACCGATTGCTGTTCGTCTAAAGTTTTCTCTATTCTTCTTCTCAAGACTATCATAAATAGTTTGTACAAGCCCGAGGAGAGATTTATGGGTCTATAATTATCTAGGTTATCCTTGCTTCCTTTTTTGTGTAATATTGTTATGTTTGATAAATGCCATTGTTTTGGTACGACTTCTTCTTTCAAAATATTGTTGAATAAATGTGTGATGACTTTATGTAACTCATAGCTGGAGTATTTTATAATTTCGTTACAGATATCATCTGGGCCCGAAGCTTTTTCATTTTTGAGTTTTGATATCGCTGAAGTTATCTCGTCTACCAGGAATGGTTCAACATCTTTACACTGTTTTTTCTCGTAGGTACTCGGGTCATAGTTGACATTGGTATATAGTATTTTGAAATACTTTGTTGCAGTGTTTACAATTTCCTTTCTCATCTCAACTTTTTTCCCCTCATGTTTTAATTTTGGTATTAGTTCTTTGCCGATAGACATAATTTTCTCTGCTCGTTTTATCGCACAGTTTTCTGCCAAAACTTTTTCTATTTCCGCAAGTTTCTGGTTTTCCAAATCTCTTTTGACGAGTTTTTTAAGTCTTTTTTTCACTGCTTTAAGTCTATTTTTGTCCGCTCTACTTTTGGCTTTCGTTTCTGTCAATGTTTGTTTTAAATTTTGAAATCTTCTGGTCTCTTCTGAGAAAATATCTTTTTTCATTTGCGGTTGTACTTTCTTTGTTTCTTTCATAGCGGTGTTTATTATTTTCTCTAGGAGATTGTATTCATTTTGTACATTTTCTGAATTTTTAAATTCAAAGTTTTCAAATAGTCTTCTTGTTATTTCCTCTGTTTCTAAAGCAGAGTCTTTTTTTATTATATGTCTTTTGTTTATATTTCTGTGTTTCTTACAGTTATTCATTTTTAATATCATTTCGACCGGACGGTGATCAGAAGCAAAGTTAAGTTTTCTGATTGTTGATATGTTATTTATATTAGTTTTGTTTTTTATTAAGAAGAAGTCAATTTGGGTTTTATTTGTTTTGTTAGGATGCTCCCACGTCCATCTTCTACTTGTTCTTGATTTATAGAAAGTGTTTCCCACCTTTAGATTTAATGTCTGTGCTAGGAGTATAAGTCTGTCGCCTCTGCTATTCCTTGTTCCGTAGTTGTATTGTCCTACATGATGTTCTTCACCAAATTTTCGTTGACCAATGTGGCTGTTAAAATCACCCATAATAAATTTGTATTTAGCTTTGCTTTCCCAATATGCTATTTCAACATCAGTCATGAAGGTTTCCACCTCTTCATCGGAAGCGTCGAAGGTTGGTGCGTACACTTGAATAAATGTATATATTATTTTATTTATTGTTAGTTCCAAGCTTAATACTCTGTCTGAAGTGTGGGATATACTTGTAACATAATTTTTTATTTCTTTATTTATTAAAAATCCAACTCCATACAGTCCCTTTTTCACTCCATAACAATACAACAGATTTCCAGATTTAAGTTCAATCAGCGTTTCTCCCTCTCGTCTCACCTCGCTCATACCTATTATGTGCCATTGAAAAATTTTTAAACTCTCTTCCAGTTCCTGGATTTTATAGTTTTCCCTAAGAGTGCGGACATTGAACGTCCATACATGTAAATTTTCTAAAAAATTGTCATTTGTTGGGGGGTGTTGGTCTTTATCAGTCCACGGATTGACCAGGATACCTGTGGACTGTTTTGTGGTTGAGTTTTGTGTTGGTGTTGGGTTTAGTTTAATGAGTTTTTTGAGGTTTCCGGTACTGTTGTCGGTTGCTTGTTATTTAGGGAAGTCCCTGGTATTGAAGATGTTCTTGATCTAGACATAAAGTTCAACATATTATTGGTCTTTGATATTTCTTCTTTTGTCTTTGTTATAAGCACATTTTCAGTAGTGCTTATGAAAGTGTTATTTACGTTAACTCTTTTTTGTGATGGAGATTTTGGTGAACCAGATGTCCCCCTTTTTCTTTTTTCACCAAGTGTGCTGTCCGGTTTATACACTATTACTTTGTTTCCCTTTATGTAGGCTTTATTTCCCTTCTTCCATTCTTCTTCTACCTTTGGTTGTAATTGTTTACGTAGTTCTAGTTCTTCTTTGGAGTAATCTTGCTTTATATATATTCCTTGGGGTAAGTTTTGTTTATTTTTCAGTATTAGTTGTTTTTTCCATGATGTTGTAAAGCTTACTACCACAGGACGGTTTTTGTTGTAATCTCTTCCTATTCTCAGGATTTTGCTAATCTCTTGACTGTTCAACTGGGTTCCTGTTTCTTCAATAACTTCTTTAATGTAGTCTATTAATTCGCACTCTTTTTTCCCTTTTTCGTCTACACCAAAGAAAACCAAGTTGTGTTCCCGCTTTTCTTTTTCTATAGCACTTAATTTTTTCTCTAGTGTTAAGACTTTATTTTTAAGTATAGCATTTTCTTCCATGATAGTTTTCATTTTCTCGTCCAATGCTTCCATAACATTTCTTGTCACCGATGTTGTTATGAGCAATGTTTGTTGTTCGAGTTTTTCATCTATTTTTGATAATAATAGTTCCATACTTTTTTCCATTTTGTTGGTAATTTTAATTCTCTAGTAGCAACCCTGAATTGGCTTCAACAAAGTTTTAATTCACTTGTAACACTAAAACTTCACTGTAAATGTCAGTTGGTGACTTGGTGATTGGTTATGTTGGTAATAGTGATAACACTCTATTTACTCTATGATTATAACCGATGTTCACGATTTTAGGTTATGTTATTTAGTGTTAATCGCAGATTTTTCGCAAGACGAACAATATTTCCACTGTGATCACTTCACTTAACTTTATATCAATGCTTTATTTTAACGCAGTTGTGTCAAGAATATGTGATTATCCACTTTTTACACTATTTTTACGAAAATATTCACGGAGGACTTCAATATACGTGTTTACGATACAATAGCCGGAACCGGAACCAGCTTTAGTTGCTAGTAAATCTAGCCATGCTCTCGTCTTTGATTCAATTTCCATCCGTATCTCATCATCCCACCACAACGTATTAGGTACTTTTCCTTTCATTCGTTCTCTTACTTACACCACATACTTCGGTGGCTGCATCCACCAAAACTTTCTTAATATTATTCCATACATTCTTCAATTCTAAATCTCAATCATATATTACAATATGATCTATAAATTACTGTAAACATAAACGTTCCAAACGATTTTTTTTTTGTTTCTTGGTATCAAATCTTATCCCTGATATAAAGAAATTGTAATTTTATGATTCTCAAACTTTGCTATGACATATGATGTAATTACTCAATATAAGGGAAATATCGGATGCATTTGAATTTTTTATTGGGTAAGAAATTTTTAAATGTTTTAATGTGTATTTAAAAGTAATAAAAATGTAAGGTCAGTCAATTAGGTTCATTAAGGCACAATAGATTTCTTTGATCGCCTATTCGCCATCGCCATCGCCTTTCTCTCTAAATATAACACTACTATTATATGATCTTTCATCATAAAGCTCGTTTAACCTTCGCCTACTTTTATAAATTCCTACTGTCGCCCATTCATTAAACGATTTGCGACTGTTAAAAGAGAAAGTTTTAGCCACTTAAGCAATCTTCGAAAGATTATATGTATACGACAAATAAATGTTTAACAATCACTGCCATATTTGTAACGGGCAAAGATAGGATAAAATTCATCCGATCTTCACTCGCGCGGGGAAACATTGGATCTCGCCCTACAGCGATCTTAGCTCTCTTTGAATCTGTTTTATCTGGCTATAACTTCATAAAACTTTGCATTCAGACAAAATAATAACAATAGAAGAAAAATCACAAATAACAGTAATAGGGAAAGACTGGACCGGAAAAAAAAAAAATACAGAAATTATCTCGTTTTATAATATGCCGCACAGCAGGCGTCCTACTTCCCGGAGCGAATGGCGGGAACTTGAGGTCGGGGCAGAATGAAATTGCGTCTTGTACCGTAATTAAAAGTACTCGTACCATTTAAAAGTATAGCATAATTCGCCGGAAATTTGAATTACACGGTCTCGCCCCATCACCGATCTTATCCCAATGCACCTTTCATTCGTGCATACACGCATACGACACATACAATGCATACATACAATACATACAAAAACGGCTCGTTCTGGTGCAGTCGGGTAAAAACATGTTGTGTTATTTTGCATAAGTGCTTCATTGAGTTAGTTAGGCCAAAGCCTTTCACCCATGAAGTTGTTGTAGCTCAGGGGCTAAGCGCTCACCTACAATTTCACAGTTTGTGGGTAGAATTAGGGTTACCAACTCTTGAAAGGACCAATACGAAAAAAACAAAAGGACAAAAACGGAGAATTTTATGAAATCGAGTAAGGAGAACGGGTGGGGGAGGGGGGGCGATGAAAGAAAATCTCAATCATTTATTAATTTTTAAATTTTTATTTACTTCGCTTTCGAGCAGCATCTAATATTTGTGAAGTTGGGGTAGTACCGTCTGGCGAGATGAACAGATTTACACCGGCAGCGGCGCGCGGTGTAGCGTGTGACCGCAAAGCGAGTGAGTAGCGACACATGCGGGCGACGAATACGTATAATTTTTAGAAAAACCTGAGAAATTATTGCACTCCGGGAGATCGGGAGAATAACCATTATTACCGGAGTCTCCCGGGCAATCCGGGAACCGGTTGGGAACCCTAGATAGAACCCGCTGGCACATACCAATGACTGACAAATGAATAAGTAAATTGCAAATTTAAATGGTGACTTAACACGTGTTCAACGGTGAAGCAGCACAGTGAACTAATTTCTCCATGGAGCGGGAGTTATATAGGTTTTTATTTATTCATTATTAACCGCCGACGAAAACTGTATCTGTGTGTCTGCCTGTGACATCATAGCTCTTGAACGAATGAATCACTTTTAATTAAATTAGATCTTTGGCGGCGGTTTGCTGCTCCTGTATTATTATTGTTTAAATAATGGTTTGAAGTCGACTTTGATATTTCAAAATGGTGCTATTTTGTGTATTATGTCTCTACGCATGTAAACTATTAGTGAAAACGGTGAAACAAATGCTCTGATAGTGATGTGATTCTCAAGTCTGCTTAGGCGCCTTGAGATACCATTGCCAACTGTCAGCTGTCTGCTGGCTCAAGTGGCCGTCAAAAGCTGCACATTGTGACGCATCAACATATTGTGAAGCAGTGTACTATGAAGGATAATTATGCATTCTAACTTCAGGCTCAGAAGGGCTAGAACCCAGAGCCGTAAAGCCAATTATAAAAAAAAATATTAAATTTTTTTCGTTTGAAAGGTGTCTTAATGGAGGGTATTTTAGGTTATGATTCAGAAAATCTGTTTAACTGTTTGAAGTTCGCCAGCTCTTTTTGTTTCGGGGTTCTTTTTTAATTTTAATTTAAGTTATTTTAATACAGCCTATCAAAAGTCCACTGATGAACATAGGCCTCTCCCTTAGAGTACCTCACAAGGATCCCCCCTATGAGACAATCTATTTTTTTTCATAGTTACCACGCTTTGCACGTGGGTTGGAACAGGAAGTTTCTTATTATTTCGGATTGTTATCGGGATGATTTTGGTTTGGATTGTCTTAGGCCTTTTGCTACACGGTGTAAGGTTGTTAAAATTCTTTATCATTTCCTTTCCAGAAGGTTCATTACAAAGAAAAAAGAAAACACCGAAAAAGAAAAGAAACCAAAGGATGACGAACACCTTACCTGATTTGCCAACGCAAATGATCCACCCGGATATGTTGGGAAATGTATGTATTTATAAAAAAAAATTCATCAGATATTTTACGATGATCTCATAATATTAGTCTATTTTACCTGCATAGTTAAAACATATCAATTGATATAGTTTACAACGATGTAGCCCTTATGGTAAAATCACTGGGGAACCTCAGGAGTATGCTCGATGACCTCAATAGTGTCTCCCAACAGTTAGGTCTTAATATGAACATGGACAAAACATAGGTCACGAGTCATGTTTAACATACTTATATGCCGGTAGTTGTTGGGAGCACTACGCGTTCCTGGTTTTTGATGAGTATGTTTACCTGGGACAAATTGTACAACTAGGTAAGTACAACTTCAACCGAGAATTGAATCGACGGATTCAACTCTGGCGGGGCAGCGTTCGAGAGATTACGACACATCTCGTCAGGAATACCTCAAAACTTCAAAACAAGATTGTACAACCAGTGAGTGTTGCCAGTGATGACTTATGGGTCTAAGACGTGGTCCTTCACTGCTGGCCGTATGAGGAAGCTCAAGGTCGCTCAGCGAACTATGGAAAGGGCTATGCTCGGGGTTACACAGCGTGATAGACTTTAAAAAAAATTAATCACTTTAAATAAATGAAATGACGATACCCGCAGTTGAACCAGAGTAACCGACATAGCCCAAGGGATTAGTAAGCTGAAGTGGCAGCTATATAGTTCAAAGAACCGACACCCGATTGCTAAGGCACACTGTCCACAGAGGCGTAGCTTCTTAGACGCGTATTCGTCATTATACGCTTGGTGTACGCTTGCTTGCAGCTTACATACAAAACAATGTAACTCTGTCGACGGAGCGGCAAGCTGCAGTCTCATACCGGTAAGCGAAGTTAGGGATGACCACCCACTCATTATATCAAATTATAACACCCTGCGGGCAGTGGTTTGATCCAGTCGGTTTAAAGTATTTTTAATTCGGTCCATCTTCAATATACCACCAATTTGGTCGATAAACTTGCGTCTAGGCTTTAAGACGTCCCTTGCCGACGCTGCCATTCAGTTAATCTTTCTAGAAGTCCAAATCACCGAAGCATTCATTTCTTAATCCATCCTTGTTACTTACTTGATAACATCATTAATAAATTTATATATCATAGTATATTTTATAATTGCTACTATTAGTACCGTTTCTAAAACTTTATTTTGTTATTATTGAAGTAATTTTCTGTTGCTTCATTACTATAATATTTAGTTTGACAGAAAAAACGATTGTTTTAACAGCTCGTAAAAAGTAGGTAGGCTCAATTGACACAAATGGCAACTGTCCAAGTCCGAGTGTCTAAAAATCAAAAATAATAATTGTCTATGTACAAGCCATCGCACATGTGTGTATAGCATTATTTTGTATGTGTACTTAGCTTAATATTATGACATACGCGTGTAAATAGTTTCATACGATCGACTAAAAAACCAGTGTACTTTCAGTACTCAGCACCGTCGGTTTTATTTTAATATCATAGCATTTATCTCCCATATCAATTTACAAAGTTAAAAGTGTAAATTAAACAGGGTGCATAAAAATGCTCGAAGGACCAAAAGGTACTTCGAGCTGGGTCACGTTATATTAGATATTTATCTTTAAAGTTCAGCATCTCTGTTTAGCACAGCATCATCATATATATAAAGCATTATTTTGTATCCGTACTTAGCTTAAATTTCTATACCTTGTAGTCATTCGCATGCAATTTCTTTCATAAGCTCATCGAATAAACTAGTATATTTCAGCACTCAGCGCGGTCGATTTTATTTAATACCATAGCATTTTCTGTATATAACAAATAGCATTAATTATTATGAAGTATAAGGGGAACACCCTACAACCTCTTTAATATTTTAAAAATGTTTCTTTAAAGTAATTTAATAACATATTATTCCAGCTGGGCTCAATGGACATGCCTCTCCCACCTCCACCTCCAATAGGGTTTACAAACGACCACTCAGATTCTGAAGAGCAGGCAATATCCTCAATGTTGCTCAGCTGGTACATGAGCGGTTACTACACTGGACTTTATCAGGGAATGAAAAGGTAACATTGCACATTTAGTCTACATCTAGTATATCTAGTTTATCTATCAATCTAGTCTAGTCTTAGTAAAAAAGTAGGCGTATAAAAACATAACAAAATCTGATTTTTAACTCCCGACGCAAAAAGAGGGGTGTTACAAGTTTGACCGCTATGTTTGTTTGTCTGTCTGTCTGTTGCACCGTAAAGTTTCGTTCAGATCTACAGACATTGAGCTTGCTAGACACGTGGCGTGGCAGACAAAATAATATTCTTTTTTACACTATATATAGATCTATTTATATACCTAGTCAGGTCATAAATTCTGTCACATGTTTAATATAAAATAATTGAAACAAGTTTATTCATTATGTAACCATTTATATACCAAAATGAACTTAACAAAACATAGATTCTTATGACACTAAAGTTTATGCAAACTGACCTCCGTGATTTTGAATACAGGCCTTCAATCTGCGCGGCCAGTCGTCTATCGCAGCACGAACGAGGTCCATGTCATTATCGGCGGCTGCCTTAATCAAGGATGTCTTGAGTGACTCCAAATTGGGATGAGGCTTTGAGCACGCCTTTTCCTCCAAGTATTGCCATATCTTGTAATCTAACGGATTCAAATCTGGACTGGAGGAGAGCCAGTCTTCGTGCCGGATGAAGTCGATTTCACGCGCCGCCAGCCAGTCTTGTGTGCTCTTCGCTCTATGAGCTGGCGCCGAATCTTGTTGGAATACCCAGTGCCTGTTATTGAACATGGTATGAGAAACAGGTTCCACAAGGTTCGTCAGGACTGTATTTTGATACACAACTGCATTCGTTTTTACAACTTTCTCACAAAAATGTACCTCTGTTAAGCCCCAATAAGAAACTCCCAACCATACCATGAGCGAGGATGGAAAATGACCTCGTTGGACACGCGGAATACGCTTCTTCACTACTGTGGGCGTACACCTTATCGTTTTGTTTGTTGTAGCTCTCTTCTACGGTTAAAATTTTTTCATCCGAAAAAGAATTTCCCGATATTTTTTTCCCGCGTACCGCTTCAACAAAGCGCGGCATCTCTTCAGTCTCAGGTCCATTAGACGAGCATTCAAACGATGTCCTGTTTTTCTTCGATATGCCCGAAGCCCTAAGTCTTCATTTAACACCCTTTTCACCGTGGTTCTGCTTAACCCCATCTGAAGGGTCAACAGTTTCTGCTTACGTTTGGGATTTCTTTGAATTCGCGCCTTCACAGCTTTTATCACTGCTGGAGTCCTAACAGACCGAGGGCGACCACTTCTTGACCTGTCATCTACACTAGAGTCTTCATTGTATCGTTTGATGGTACGATAAACGAATCTTTTGGTTATATTCAAATTTTTCAGTATGTCAAAAATTTGAATTGGCGCGTAACCGCAACGATGCAACGCAATAACTGCAACACGGTCTTCTTTAAGCGTCCACTCCATATTTAAAAATGAGTAAAATTCTAAAAAGTATACAGTTTTATTTTCATGAACAATTCGAAATTCGAAGTCAATAAACTTTTTTGTAGCCAGCATTCTAAAAGAAAAGTTTTTACTGTGTGACAATACTTATGACCTGACTAGGTATATTTATTATATTACATTTATTATACTATGCTCGGAGTTTCTCTGCGTGATAAACTTAGAAATGAGTATATCCGCAGTAGAACCAGAGTAACCGACATAGCCCAACGTATTAGTAAGCTGAAGTGGCAGTGGGCCGACCATATAGCTCGAAGAACCGACAACCGATGGGGAAGAAAGGTTCTCGAGTGGCAGCCTCGTACCGGTAAGCGAAGTGTAGGGCGATCCCCCACGAGATGGAGTGACGACCTGGTAAGACATGCAGGAAGTCGATGGATTCAGGTGGCTCAGGACCGTGCTTTGTGGCATTCCTTGGGGGAGGCCTATGTTCAGCAGTGGACTTATGAAAGGCTGTAATGATGATGATAATGATGATAGATATATTTACATCTAGCGCCCGCAAGCGGAGCGTGTCCGCGCAGACACGAGCCGCCACCGACCAGCATTCTCAACAAGAATGTTTCATCTGTGCTAGTGCGTGTCTGCGGGTATCTAATATACATTTTGGTATGACTTGTGTGACCGCGGGTACAGTGACAACCAAAACAAAAAGATTACGCATGGAAAGAAGTAGCAGAAAAACTTCAAGTTTCATGTAAGAAGGATTTTATTTATGAAAAATCTTGTAAGCACGTGCACTTTATAGTTTACCTGATGACGTCTGTTCATGCCGGGTGCGTGAGATGTGAAAACTGTTGTCTGTGCGGTGTCTGCCACGTTACGTGCTGGTAGATCTGAACGAAACTTAATTCTTCAACGGGTGAACCGATTCGGGTGCGGTATCTTTATTGAAAATCATATTTTCTAGTGGTGGTTTTTAGACATGTTTTATCAAAATCGGTTCAGCCTTTTCAAGTCCACCAACTGTTTTTTACAAGAGTTTTTTTTAATTTAGTTATATAGAAGTGAGGTAACAATTGAGCATGCTGACAGTTAGGATGCTGTGGCCCACAGACATTTACTTACACATGGAGTCGTCATCCCTGTGGACTATAATGGAATGCCTCGTTACCAGTAAAAATAATCGCCGGTTCTTGTCACTCTCCATACGAAATACAGCAGCATAATGATGCCACGGATTAGTAAGCTGAAGTGGCAGTGGGCCGGCCATATAGCTCGAAGAACCGACAACCGATGGGGAAGAAAGGTTATCGAGTGGCAGCCTCGTACCTGTAGGCGAAGTGTAGGGCGATCCCCCACGAGATGGAGTGACGACCTGGTAAGACATGCAGGAAGTCGATGGATGCAGGTGGCTCAGGACCGTGCTTTGTGGCATTCTTTGGGGGAGGCCTATGTTCAGCAGTGGACTTGTGAAGGGCTGTAATGATGATGATGAATGATGCCACTTCATGCTGGTATTCTGTGCAAGTGTTGACCTTCCTCTGTCGAGCCTACCCTACCTAGTACTCGTCGCCACCAACAGACGATAATTTTTTTAAACACTTCGTTTTCATTTCCTTTCAGAGCGAAGGAGAATCGAAGAAATTTGACGCATTAAAGAGAGGAGACAATAAAAAACTGGAGTTTTTTTTTAAATAAAATTTAATTTTTAAGTGTCAGATAGCATAAACTACTGCCGAGATAGAAATGCTGTTATCGATTAATAATAAATTAAATTATGCCTCCAGGTTCATGTGTAAACTATGTACAAAATATACATTTGGGTATTTCATTAAAAAAATCATGTTTTGTTTTATAGTCTGATTGGTGGGATTTGTTTTCTTAACTGTAACCATCTGCTCAGATTCCCGCCATATTTCTTTTTTCTCCACAGATTACAAATGCCACAAATGTCAAATTAAAAAAATATTCTGAGCAAACAAACATTGTTAGTATATCTCTATATTACATTGTAAGTTTTGTTCTTACATAATCGCTTATTTTTAATAAAGGCATTTCTTCAAAGTCTATTCGTTTCATTTATTTTACATGCAACTTCCACACAAACTATAAAATAATAAAATCATCACGTTATACAAATTTCACTTGGGATAAAAAAATCTTGATGGTCCAATAATCTTATTCATAGATAGTTAAAATAAATTTATAACGTCTAACATAACTAATGAGTAAGGCAGCCGCCATGCATTTGGATTTTTACAAGACATTCCTAGAATAGCAATCTAAAATTGTATTCTATACAAATAAATAAAATTGAAGTGTCTGTTTGTAATAAAGTAATACTTTTTCTAAATGCACATGAAAGTATTTACGGTACTTATAACAAAAAAAAAACCATTTTTAAAATTTTTGTCTGTCTGTTTGTACTGGCAAATCTCTGAAACGGCTGGACCTATTTTGACGGGATGTTATAAGAAGTAACTTAGGCTACTTTTATTTTAGTGAAAGAAATGAAATGATGAAATTCAATCGTGACAAATTACACACGGGCGAATTTGCGGGGAACAGCTAGTCTAATATATAAAAATTAATTTTTGTTTGGTCGTATTTTATGCGCTGCCATACCGTTCATCAAATTGCGCTAATTTTTTTACCAGCTAGTGTTTAATAAAACGAACTCCAAGTAGTCTCTCATGTGTCCCACATGCACACTAATTTTGTACTCACAAAATCTGGATGTACATCTAGTTGTCACTTAAAAGGAAACCCGGGCGGCGTGTGATCTATACAAACCTTTCTCTGTTTTCTCGTGAATAAAGACACTAGAGCAAATATTTTTACAACGCAATCTGTTTATCACTGCCATGTTCCTATGTTTTATGTTTTTTTCCAAAAATTAAAACTACGAACCTTTTAAAGTTACTAAAATTGGCCAGTTATACCGCTGGAATTACAGCAAATAAATTCTACAAACATAAAAAAACAAAAGAAAAACAGCCACACATTTTGTTTTTAATGGGTATCATCAGTCCGAACTGGAGATATCTCTTCAAGTTATCTAGCTTGGTCGTTCGGGCATAATGTGATAGCAAAAGATCGAGATAATTAAAACCTATTCTTCAAATTTCTTGCAGTCCGAATAACCTCTTAAGAGTTTAAAGTGACGCGCAAAGCTTATTTTAAATTTAATATGGCCTCCTGTAAAAAGGTTATATATAAAATTTAGATATAAAAGTAAGAATTGAAAATATTCCACTCATGTAAGCATATTAACTGGCCACCTTACTAATGAACATAGTTATTGAACGTTATAAGCCTTTGAGGTTGATCGCACACTTATCCGAGCCGAACGACTCGAAGTCAATGATCACACATCCGCACCGAAAGGATCGACCGCGCTGAAAAAATCGTCTCCATCTCCTTTACACCTTTCGCATTGCAATTACATGTGAATTGTGATGGATCTTGACAAGTTATATTGTCAGTGCTTTTTAATAGAAGATGAAGAAAGTACTATTCAATTAAATTAGAATCACGCATTAAAAAAAATTAAGAATTAGTACTCGCACGTTGCTCTGTCGCACGCAACTGTCAGAATGCGAGCGCAATAGCGCATCGGTCGATTCAATTCGACTGCATCACCCGCACCAAATCTGATGACGTTATCCCAGTTCGTCTAGGATTTATGGGGTTCTAGATTCGGACGATTCGACGTAGGGAAAATATATCGAAATTGATACGAATGCGATACTCTAAAATAAATATCGATATATCGAAATACCGCGATTTAAAATATGGACGATATATATCGATATTTTTATTGAATTAAAAATATCGAATAATCGATATATTTTTTTATTTCAAAATATCGATATATCGATATTTTTTGCCCAAGCCTAATTCAACGCGGGCAGGTGCAGGAGGATTTCATATAAAGAATTTAAAAATTTGTTTCGTTCGACGCGTTCGGCTTGTATAGTGTGCATTCACCTTTAAGTATTTATGAATAAGGCCACAAATTCATTACCATTATCATTAACTTCTGTTCGAACTTTCGATCTGAGCATGCCTTAACAAAATTATATTTAGATAATATTATATAAAAGTCTCTATTTTATATTAAATTTAAATAATTAAACATGGCAAAGCAAGATCTGCTGTGGCAGTATATTAAAACAATAAGAAACAATATTTACATTATAATTCTAATATTATACAATTTAATTCATAATTCAGGTATTGGCAAGTAATTACTCGCAAAGGCCTCTCCATATCGATATGACTTACGAATCGAATAACATATCAGCGAGTTCTGTATCAAGTGTTAAAATAACATAATAAAAACATGTTAAGTATCGATAATATTCTCGGTAAATAAATTTCAAGGGATTTCAATACAAAACATCAAAACCCTATATCGTTCAGTACCCACAATAAGACTGAATTATCTACGCGACGTTTCGTCACATACATGATTTCGAAGCCTCTCTTGGATATGGATATTCTATGTTAAAGGCCACGCGTTATTTATTTGAATCAATATATTAATATTCGATTCAATCGATTGAAAATAATTTACGTAGTTATAAATCTATGCAAAAATATTTTTGAAAAGATGTTTTTCTCTTCATTTTAAAGTTCAGGCAAGGTTGTGTGCAATGTCAATTTCTTTTTAAAATTTGAAACGTTTTTTATACTGTTTATTAACAAGTTTAATATTTCACTATATTTGTACATTTTGAACGGGTTAAATGATGTATAAGGCCTCTAAATTTCAATCTAGGATTGTCTTATTTTTTGTTACTTGTTAATTCAAAATCTTTATTAAACTGTAAGAAAATAAACTTTTTTATTTCTATCGTTTTTCCTTTTCTGAATCGGTCGCAATTATAACGCATTCAATTTTTTACATAAAGTACATTTTAACTATTTCCACATCAATTTTTAAACATATATAGCGTCTATATGCGTTTAAAAATCTTGAAAATGTAAAGCTTCTATAAATTAGTCTATAAACACACAATTATTACAAAAAAAAACAACGTTCCATCCATTGAAGTTATATTAAGTACGTACTAGAAGAGAGACTACATAATATGAAGACTTGGTAAGACTTTTTCGCAGCCCCGCGCCGCTTAGATTTTGTTCACAGTGTCTGTTCTAGTATAAAGTACATATTACTTCAATGGTTTTCTGGAAACTGTGATCAATGCATGATAGTCAATCGCATAAAGGTAATTTTTTAATGAAACTAATTTTACGGATTTTATCGCGTTTAATTCAACTTTTTAATTCTCGACGTTTCGGGTGCTTTTGCTTGACGGCACCCATGGTCACAGGGAGAAAACATCCGCAACGTCAGAAATTAAAACGCAAAAATTAAACGCGTTGAAATCCGTAAAATTAGTTTTATTAAATGTATAGTACTCGCGTAAATATTAAAAATCATTAGGCTGTACATTTTAAGATATACAAATATGATGCTTCACACAAGCGTGCTGAGCTCGTGCGTGTCGTGACTAAGGTCGATAGTTGCCGGGGGAACTCCCGGCGTCGCGGCGCCCTCTCCCGGCGGCGTGCTCGTCGGCGGCCTGAACATAAACAATTAAATAATTAAAAAAATGCCAAACAATCCAATACATTACCTAACCTAGAAGATTTTGCTTACAACACAATATAACATTTGAGTACCTACTCCTTTTTTGAAGTCTATAAAAACAAATATTAAGCGATAGAGCCGTCCTCTAGCTATATTATGGTTGTAGCACGAAATGGTCAGCCCGACCGGGGAAAGACCACGCTCTCACAGAATACCAGCGTAAAATAGCAGCTCAATGCTGGTATGCTTCGTATGGTGAGTGTTGTTGAGACGTTTTTACTGGAAACAAGGCATTAGGTAGTTCTTAATCCTTACGGGTGACAAAACATCTGCATTTTGATTCTCAATCGAGGATCGATGTAGATGTCTATGGGCCACAGCATCCACTTACCATCAGATGGACTGTGTGCTCGTTTGTCATTATTCTATATAAAAAAAAAATCCCACGCATATAACGAAGAAAGAAGAGACAGACTGCAATATGCTTTGTAACCGCAGAAGGATAAGATAGAAGGTCACACAACCTGTAATTGTACTGGTTCTTTACTCTCTTCAAATCTGAACACAGCAGTGCAAGCACTATTATTTGGCGGAAGAAATAGATAAGAGGGCAGTAAGAGAATAGGTAAGAGATGGCAGATAAAGAGTACTACATATGATTAAATAACGTAGCACTTATAAACGTCAGATAAATAATTAATGAGATAATTTTTATTTAATATATCACTTGTTTTTTTTTAAATTCATACACGTTATCCGATTCTCAGCTATATTTAAAATTTCAAGTGTAGCTCATCGGAAAGTTAGTTTAATTCGACCCGAACAGACGAGTTAATATAAACGTGGTAATAAAATAATACAAATAACTGTATTTAAAATCTCACCTAATTATGTACGGGCCCCCTTGCTGTAGCAACGTTATAGGATGTGTGTACGGCGCTCCCGACATACTGTGAAAGCTCACGTTGCCCCCGCCAGTGTTGTTCAAATGTCCATTGCCTAGCAACATTCCGTTAGACGTGCTCAAATTGGGCGACGTAGCGTTTGTGGTATTCAAGTCTTGAGTACGGAACGCTTTCACAAGATTAGTCTTCTCCTTTTGCCACACAAACACGTTGTGGACCATCGCGCAGCCGCAGAATATGATCCCGACACCGATGAACACAGATGTCACTATCGCCGGCGTTGAATGGAATTGGATGAATGTGTAGAGTATTATGCCTGAAATGATAAAAGATAATATTGGATATTTAAAGTTTAAGTACAAAACAAATACATACGTGGTAGAGCCATGCTGCAGCTATATTAGGGTAGTAGCACGAATTGATCGGTTCGACCGGGGAAGGATTACGCTCTCACAATATGCCAGCGTAAAATAGCAGCTTAACGCTGCTGTGTTTCGTATGGTGAGTGTAGAGAATAGGAATAAAATAGAATAATTTTTTTACAAGTAATTCTTATTGAAAGTAATTTTTTTACATTAGAACCCTTTTGACAGGATACTTTACCACCTTAGTTCTCAGGGGTGACAACGCATCTGCATTTTGATTCTTAATCGAGGATAAATATAGATGTTTATCAGTCACGTATCCACTTACCATCAGGTGGATTATGTGCTCATTCACTCTTATTCTGTAAAAAGAATCATCATCATCATTTCAGCCTTTCAAAGTCATTTCAGTGGAGGTGTAAGTATACTAATGCTGCTGACAAATTATTCCATTCATTTGCGGTACACATGACGAAAGACAAAACAAACCGTTTGACTCGAATGCATGTCAAGTGGACAGTGAAAGGGTGCAGATTGGTCGAACGTCGGGTTGCTCAATGGCGAAAGGGAGAGGGAGTAGTTAAGTTATGCAATTCCTACGTACACTCTCTGAAATGTATTCTGAAGAAAATCGAAATCGAAAGACAGCAACTTTACATCCGTGCTTTAGACAGGCAAGATTGGCTATAATCAGATTCAGGTCACCAATAATCTTCTTAGGACGCCTATCCATTGAATTTAAAGCTGCTACGTGACATTTTGGAGCACCAGCCCATATATGGCATCAGTATTCCCAGCACGTAATTGTGCTTATACTTAATTTTTCCATGTGGCGGCTTGAGAGAATCCATCACCACATTTCGTTCCGTGGGTATCGTACGAAGCGACTATGTGAAATTTAAATAAAACTAGTTGTTACGGATTGTATCGCGTATATTATAATATAGGTACGCGATAAAATCCGTAAAAACTAGTTCTGTATAAACATCAACAGTCGTGTAGTGCTCGCGTAAACATAAGAAATCACTATTGCAAATGCCCAAATATCTTATATATTTATAGCTTCCGTATAAATGTCATATAATCATCTCGCTACGCCAGGCTTAAAATATAATATCCAGACCGGTGACGGACGGCGGCCTTAAAGTTGCGTTGCTTCTTGAACCGCGATCTCGCCAGGGTAGATAGTGTTATGTGATTGTCCGCCAATCCCCCAGCGAAGTAAGTAAAATGGGAGAACAGACAGAATGAGAGGAATTTATGACCGCCATATTTGTTTTACGATGACGTCATAACAATCTATCTCCATCTCTTACCCAAGCCGTTACCGTAACAGCTTATTAAAGTCCACTGCTGAACATAGGCCTCCTCCAAAGATTGCCTCATATGGGATATTTGCCATAGTTGTCACGCTTGGCAAGCGGTTTGGCAACCGCAGTTTTAGTTTTTATTAGGAAGACACTGCTGCCCATCCCCTGATTTCTATCCCTCGCCTCTTACGACACCCACGGGATGATATGTGGTAGTGGATATTCCTACACCGTCACTACACAGTAAATAAAAATTGTGTTGGTAAGTAAAAGTACTTACCCATGCAAAACTAACTAATCAATAAAAAAAGGATCAATTTATTTAAATCCGAAGTCTGGCTGAGTGAATGTAAAAACACAATCATACATACAGGCCAATAATTGGCAATTCCAAACTCTATTAGTGCGGGAGATCAACAGTCGATGTCATAAACATTGCGTTCATAATTATCAACATTTTAACAGTCAGTTACAAGTCCACTGTTGATAATTTAAAATCAAAAATTTTGTACAGCCGACTTCAATATAAGTTATTTAAGAATAACTCAAAAACTATTGGTCTGACCTTGATCAAATTTTTCAAAATTATATGGGACCACACGAGAACTATCAGCTTTCATATAAAAAAAGAATCATCGAAATCGGTTCACCCAGTACAAAGTTATGAGGTTACACACGTAAAAAAATACAGTCGAATTGAGTACCGTCTCCTTTTTGGAAGTCGGCAGAAAATAATACATTTCATGGATTGCTATAAAACAGGTTCTTAAGATTCTAAGCTAATTGCATCCATCTACTATCTGAAGGATGTAGTGATTTATTTTGTGGCTGTAGGTCTCATCAGGTGTAGGGTTACCATCGGACCGGATTTTAAGAGCCAAACCGAACGCCTGGACACTATTGAATACTTGGCTATACAACGTATAGCCTACGTGTCTAGGTAGGACAGGTAGCACGAACTTCGCGTACAAGTGAACGCCACTTCAATCACGTGTGAAGAATTTTACAATAAGATTTGTAGAGTAACCAACTTTTTAAAGGCTGTTGCTAATAGCCGAAAATATAAGTTAAAATAAATGTATATTTTATAAGGAAACAAAGCGTAATTACAATCTTTAGAGTTTTATTGCCAGGTATTATCTCTACATAGTGTTAAACAAGTGAAGTCGCTTCCCGTCGTCTGTACGCTTAGATCTTTTAAATTACATAACGGATTTTGATGCAATTTTCATTAATGGAGAGAATAATTCAAGGAAAAAGTTTATATGTATCATATATGCATATTATATATAATACAAATCTTCTGTCCGTGTGTATACGACAGAACTCCTCCTAAACGGCTGGACCGATTTTCATGAAAGTGTGATTAAGTTGATTAGAGAACGGTTTAGATTCACAATAGATGGCGTTGTATGCAGATCCAGAAATCCACCATGCGAAGCCGAGGCGGATCACTAGTATGCTAGTATGGTATATATTAACACTTGCGCTGTCCGATTTTCAGACACAATAGTAAGACAATAGCAATGAACCTACCTATTTAGGTATAGTAAATACTTTCGATTAAAATAATTATAACAAACATTGTAGCGCTAAAACGATAGAGAGACATCATGGCTGACCCAACACGCACCTCGTCATTTTTATTTATTTACTGTTTCAACAATCTTTCAATAATAATATCGCTTGACGAACCGACAACCGATGGGTAAGAAAGGTTCTATAGTGACAACCTCGTAGCCACAAGCGGAGTGTAGGAACTCTATTAAATGGAGTAACGGAAGTCGATGGATTCAGGTAGCTCAAGACTGTGCTTGTATGCCACAAAGCACCTTCCTTAGGGGAGTCCTGTGTTCAGTAGTGGACTAGTGAAATGCTGTAATGATGAATGATGTTGAAATTTACATAGACAAATACCTAGAATAATTATTTTTAGGTCATATAAATATTTATTACGCGTGGGGATCGACCCTAGGACTCACTGGATCGCATCCAAATGCACGTCCACCGCGCTGCTGTACCTATCTTGACTTGGCACTTATATCTTGTCTAGTCTGGGTATTTGTATATCTCACACATACGTGATGGAACTACATAAATATCTGTTGAAGGCCGTAAAGCCCTTCTGGCCTATGATGAAGTTTCCTTTTACGGCAATGAACGAAATAGTGTGATAATATATAACGTAATTTGTTAGAGCAAATCATCACCATCATCGTTATCGTTAATTTTATGATTTAAAAACAAAATGTAGGTGAGTAATAAGAGAGTCAAGTACCTGTTAAAAACACTGGTATCGATATAAAGAAGCCACCAACGGCGCACACCCGTGTTATCGCAGACTTTTGCAGGTATTTGTTTGATCTGAAACCAATTAAACAGAGATTAAAATTAATTTTGTATGCGTTATTTTCTTTAAGAAAGAATTTAGGTACCTACTGGTATTACGCAAATTGGCCAGGAGCCCCATAATTGTTTAATGGAGGTTCGATTAATCGATATGATATATAAAACAACTGCAAGCACATCGAAACTCGTTTGAGCGGTAACTTAACGGATCTCGCACCTGTTGATCAGGTGTTGCCAGGGTTGCCAACTTTCACGCGTTCATTTACAGATATCTTTAGACTTTCACGTTCGTTAAATATCGTTAAAAACATCATGCAACTGTATATAAATATAAAAAAAGGAACAATAACCAGTTACGTTGCAAAACAGCAATTGCCCTTGTTTTAAAATTTCTGTGTAAACTTTTACTGCTTAAGTACACTTTGTAGATACTTTCAATCTTAACGCGCTCTTTGGCCTTAATATACATAAGTGATCTTTAAAAAGACAAAAGAAGTAATAGTAGCTCGTGTTGATTCCTTTATTTTAAATAAATATGGTTTTACTAAAAAATATGGGAATCAGCACGGTTTTATGCGCAGGATAATTTTTTTGGAACTACTGTACACAGTTCCATTATAATCTATTACTCGATGGTGTACTTCCAACTCGTATGGTGCTTACCACTTACACCAATAAACGTAGTGATTATATACTCTTTGACATTGGTGCCAAAGAGTATGTTAACTGGATACTGAAAGAATAACTGAAAGCTAACTAATCGAGCAGCGGGATTAGAGTTACCACGCTTCACCTCGTATACCAAAAAGAAGTAAATTTACAGCGAATATACTTTACACACATGGGCACGGGCCTCTCATTTCAAAGAGGGCAATGGAGTGACTTGTTCCTGCTTGCAGTGGTTAAGAACAGAATAATGGGCGCTTTTACGTTGACCGACAAAGACACCGTCTCGATACCGACACGATATAGACGGGCAGATATTCTCATACAATTTTTAAATATTATATATATTATGTACCAAAGATGTTGTATAGGTCTTATGTACATGGTTACTGTCTTTGCTATCGCCACCAAAATCGTCCACATCGGAATAGTACCGGCGACAGCTTACCCATATGTTTTACATTATATGTAATCTTTGTAGCCACCTTAAAAATTATGGAGACTCCCAAATCGACTGAATGTTTATATTTGTATGTATGTAACGAATATTTTGGCCAGTTGTGAAAGGGTTTAATATTATTTTTTTTTATTAAATGGGCTATACATCTATGATTTTAGGGTGGCGCCATTTGAATTTGAATATTTTGGCCAGTTGTGAAAGGGTTTAATATTCTTTTTTTTTATTAAATGGGCTATACATCTATGATTTTAGGGTGGCGCCATTTGAATTTGAAGAAATAGGGATAAGTTTAATTGTAACTGTTTAGATGAAATTTTATTGTTTTCAGTTTGTGATAATCCTAAAATAAGTCGAACACTTATATAAGCTAAAAACTCTTTATAAAAAGTGAAAACCGACTTAAAATAACTAAAAATAATAAAATCAAGTCAAGGGCTTTAATATTTCGATACTTACATTTTGTCTTAGCACGGATTTCAAAGCTATAATGTGGAAATTATAGTGTATTTATATGTGTCGTCTGTACGTGTACAGATAGTATATCTATGTATAGAAGTGTATGCACTTATACGTAGGTGTGTGTGTATGTATGTATCTTTGTTATGAAATTATTATTTATCTTTCAATTAATTTGTTATTGCTTAGTAGTTACCGATTTAATTTTGTATTCTAATAGATTTATATTTATTTATATTATGTTTATAGTTTTTATTATTGGCATTTTCATGTTTAATAATTTAAGTAAAAATGTTTAAGTATTAATTAGGTTTTGATATCCTGAATAATATAAAATAAAAAAAAATATTTTGTTCTTTCTAATTCTTAGAAGTGGGTTATAATTTTGATTAAAAAGTTTAATTTGCTACTTTAAATTAAAAAAAAATAAAGCGAATGAAATTTTTTCTAAAGCGCACTTGGATTTACACAGTGACAATGCTGTAATTCGAGTAGGTAATGTACGATGGTGCGTTTAGTACTTCAGAGCTACGTGGTATGTGTCGACCAATTATAACAGAATCGGTCCGATTATTTCGATATCGGATCGGTGTCGTTATCGGCTAATGTAAGCACCCATGTAATAAAGAAAAAGGATGATAATGTCACATGACAACAAATATAATATTTTTTTCACTTTTTTATTGTTTTAAAAACCGCCGAGAAACAGTGTTGTAGAGAACATATACCTCAAGGATATGACATAGAATCGAAAAATATTTCTGTAACATAAATTGACATGCAAATTTTTATTTAACCTTGTGACATGAGTTAGGACAGCCCTACGTGAGCGGTTCTCTGCCGGTTGGCTTGTTGTTGTCCCCATGTCACCGACACTGAGGTAGGTTCCGACAATGTTATGCTCATTGCTTATTATTGATTATGTCTTACACGTTATATTGTAATTTAAAATACTTATTTAATTAATTTTTTATAGAATAAGGGTGACAAACGAGCACATTTATTCTCTATTAAGAATTAAAATTCAGATGCGTTGTCACCCCTGAGGACTAAGATGGAATGTCTCGTTTCCAGTAAAAATGCTCTCCAGCTCTCTACTCTCACCATACGAATACATACAAGCGAAAAATTGCAGCATTAAGTTGGAATTTCAGACTGGTATTCTGGCAGAGCGCAGTCCTTCCCTGGTGGAGCTGACCAATTTATGCTACAGCTATAAAATAACTGCAGCGTAGCTCTACCACGTGCTTATCACATGTTATACAGACTTACTTACACCTTATGGTAATTTTAAAAACGAGCACACAGTCCACCTGATGGTAAGTGGTTGCTGTGGCCCATAGACATCTACTTTTATCCTCGTTTGCGAATAAAAATGCAGGTGTGTTGTCACCCGTGAGGACTAAGATAGAAAGCCTCTTTTCCAGTAAAACGTGTCTCCGGTTCTCTACACTCACCATACGAATAATGCACCATACGGTAATGGTTGTAAAGTAAGATTTAATAAGTTAAGATTCAATTTAATATGATAATGAAGTGCTCAGGTTTTCTTTCGATTCTACTCGATACGACTCTATAGTTTAATAGAGCAACGAAAGTGCCACTACACAGCTCTATGGCTCTAGGGTCGATTGGCGGAGGCGAATTAGATTCTACCTCTGCCGCAGAGCTTTTAGAAAACCTCCAAGTTTACATTTTCGTTAACAATTTTTGTTGCCTCGGTACATCGGAAATTGTTATTTTTTCGCTTGCTAAACGAAAAATAATAATTAAAAGCTGGAATTTTAACTAAGACATTAGAAACGTTGAAACCCCATTGACCATGGGTGCAGCAAAGCATTCGAGACATTAAAAATATAGCATATGAAAGTAAATAAAATTATCTAACATATATATATATATATATATATATATATATATATATAATCGATAACTATCTTAGTTAATTATGCTGATAACGCATCTGCATTTTTCTAACGAGGTAAAGAAAGATAGGTATAGAGAATAGACCCACAGCGTCCACTTAAAAAATACTAAAAATATCTTCTCTCAAGAGTCTTTTAAAGGTATTCATATATGTATGTATCATATAACATTAATCACAGTAGTTTAAATATGTAAAAACATGCGTGAGTGTCGTGCATCACTCGGTTGGAACGAAGTTCCTTATAATTGATAAACGTATTATATTATTGATTAACAAACACAAATAAATATATTACTAGCGTCTATTAAAATGAAGCGTCATTTAAAATAAAATACACTTCTTTATTTCGCCGCCAAGGCCGTCTACACTATGACACAAGGGGTAGTGGCGAAAAAATCTTACACTTTTTGTTGCCTAGCTCCCATCCGCCAAACCTGTACCGTCCGATAAGGAACTTCGTTCCAATAATTATGTTGTATGTTTTCAACTATAACTATAGCCATTATATACGCAATACTGTTTTAGCAGGCTACAATATTGATAAGGGTGAAGAATTTTATATGATGGAGTCATTAAGGATAATCGTTCCTGTGCCCTCGAAACTACATCCGGCGTCTAGTCAATTATTTGTTTTTAGAACGATAGAGCGGCAACAGAACTAAAGACTGATTATGAAAAAAATTGGTTTTTACAAGTGATATAGGAAGTTCTATATATATATATATAAGAAAAGATGGAGAAGTTCCTGATAAAGGTAGAGCTGGCCTTTGCTGTGAATGAATGACTGTTGCTCATCGTAGTTTAGTAAATTAACATGTCATTGAAATACCTATATAATATATATATACAAATTAAAAAAATTATAATAAAAAAAATAAAACTAAAAGCTCCTCGTGGTATCCGCAAATACAGTTTCTTTACGAACTGTACCGCACGGTCACCTCACGGACCGATAGTGTCTACAGCAAATGGCACAAATATGTAGTCTTCACTCAAATACTCATATTTGCGCCATTTACTTAGGTCAGTTGCTAGTAATTGAAAATTAATACGGCAGTCGATATAAGCTAGGCAACACCATCATAACAAAGTACAAAGAACAATTCTTCAATAGATCTATCCGTGATATTTTGAAATAACTGAAATAATTGCTCTCATCTATATACTTTTGTTCTAGCTTGTAACTGGCCTCTCTTGTTGATTGCAAAGCCACTGTTTTATTTTTTTATTTGTTTTTTTAAATGTTTTATAACTTTAGCAGATGTAACTCTTAATAACTTACTTCATAAACACATGTTTTGGCTTACAGTTTAGTACTTAATCATTTAAATTTAAGAAACTTTTATCTCCACAACCGTAAACTGTATTGTGTTAATAAATAAAATAAAACAAAAATTCGTTACAACCCTAAGTGCATGATGTCAGGCTTGCAGTAACGCCAGTTGTAAGGGTTTGTAACGGCGCGACACGCATCGCTGATTATAAGGGAGAGTTAATAACTTAAAC